ATGGATGGATGGATGGATGGATGGATGGATGGATGGGTGGATGGATGGGTGGATGGATGGATGGATGGATGGATGGATGGATGGGTGGATGGATGGATGGATGGATTGGTGGATGGGGTTGGGTAAGTAGGTGAAGGAATGGACTCCTTTGTAACTGTGTCATGGAGACAAGCCAGGTAACACCTCTGAGCCTGGCTTTTGTCTTCATGAAATGCTGTCTCTGGGGACAATGTTTCAGTTGATCAAGCATGAAGGAGAAGAGCCCTCCAGCCCAAAGCCCAAACTCAAGCTACCAGAGCATTTCCACATCCGGCCGGTGACCCCCGTGGAGAAATACATCAAGGTTTGTTTGCAATGTCATTTGTCAAAGACTCTTGTTGCAGCCAGTGTGTCCATCCATCTCCTCGAGGGACCATGGTGTCCTTCTCCGGGCACTGGTCCCTCCAAGTGACACGTCCAAAGTGCCTGAGACCAGGTCTCACCATCGTGGAGTCTCCCTCTCCCAGTCCAGTCTCCCTGCCCACTCTTGTGGCAGCCCACCGAATCCCTCGTCGTCCTTGCCGGCACCCTTAAAATGGTCCAGCAAGCAGATGCAGCCAGGAGCACATCAGCCAGGTGTTCTCTGTGGTGGCGCCAGGGCTGAGTTCCAAATGCTGACCTCCCGGGTGGCAGCTGTGCACTGACTGTAGCCATCAGTGTGGCTGACCCAAGACAACTCCAGGTCCCCCGCACCCATTGATGACCCTTCTCGCAGGTAGTCTCTTGGGAATCAAACCAGTTCTTCCACAAGCACATCTGTAAAGGGGCTTCACCCACAGATGGCTGCCTGCCCGCCCCTGAGCCCCTCACGTGAAGGGGGAGCTTAGTCCATGGGAAATTGAACTTCCCCCCACCCCGGTTCTCTCCAGCAGGCATGTCACGGGTCCAGTGGCCTTGTAATCCCAGACAGAGATGGCCTCAAATCAAAGCAGCGGAGAAGGGGCACTGCCTGAACATTTTCCCTCCCTTTCCAGACACTTCCAATCTGCCCATGGAATGGACGGACGAAACGGGGCTTTTCATTTCTGTTAGAATCCAATTTTCCTCTTTGTTATTCCCGAAACCCGATTGCCTTCCCCGCCCGGAGAATCAACAGCGGAGTCACCTGGGTGACCCTGGGCTGAGCCCACTCCCCTTCTGGGGACCCTGGGCATGTCAGAGCAGAACTGGGCTCCACGGAGCTTTCGAAGGCTGATTTGGGGGACGCAGGGTACCAGGCCTTTCTTCTGAGGTGTCTCAGGCTGGGCTCCAACTTCCGGTCTTCTGTTTGCCTGTTGAGCGCAGTCCCCTGAGGCTGACTCGGGCCCTGTCTTTCCATTCCAGATCCTCCCGTCTCCCCCAATCCCTGAGACGACCCAGGGCTTCATTGGCTGGCGATCCGGGCAGCCGGGCCTCAACAGGCACCTGGAACATGACCGCGAGGTCCGAAGCTGCAAGGGTGCCTATGCCGCAGAGCTGGGCTGGCCCAAGCAGGGCATCCACTGAGGGTGCTGGGCCACGGGCGCTGGGACTGTGGGTACAGCCTTCCTCCCGGCATGCCCCTGGGGTGCGGCAGAGCAGCGCTCCCGGGACACTGCAGTTCACCTGAACCTGCTTTCCCACCTGGGGGCCCTCCCTCCCTTCCCGCACTTGTGATAAACTCGGCAAATGAGACTCTGCGGTAGTTGGTTGGTTTGAATATCATGAGACTGCCTGGACATGGCGTGTCAAAGCCGTGAGTGGCTCATTTCATCAGCATGTGTGCAGTTCAAATGGCTGCTGGGCGGATGGTTGGGGGTTGAACCCGCTCAGAGGTGCCTTGGCAGAGAGACCTGGAGACCAACTCTGAGGGTTCCCTGTGGTGCACATGCCCCTCTGCCGCAGGGTGGGGGGTGGGGGGCTCACAGCCCAGGCTCCGCAAGGGGCTTGTTGGTAATAACAGCCCGGCATTGGGGCTGCCTCTGGCGGCAGATGGATTCCGCAGCCACTCCGCCCACATGTTAGGAGGACAGAGGCATGGGGCCAGGTTCCCCCTCCTGTGGAGTCCGAAGTAGGTCAGTGCCTTAAAGGGACTCGAACCCCCAACCCTCCAGTACATTCCCCATTTTTACCCCCCAGGGAGTCCTTGAGGGCTGCTGGACCCCTCAAATTGCCCCCTCTCGCCTCCCCGTGCTCATGCGTGTGCAGAAAGGGGCCGAGGCTCCCAGTGGTTGGCTGGCCAACACGCTGGTCCAGACTCTAGGGAGCCGCTGTATAGGCAACAGCTGAGGGCTGGGGCTTGCCTGCGGCAGGTCCCACGGAGGAGACAGGCGGCCCTGTGGCTAGGCCACTGCCACGTCTGCCTGTCCCACGTACCCAGCAAGGAGCCCGTCTTCACGAGGGCAGATTGGTCACCAGATCTTTCTCCCGAAGAACCTTGAGGTGGCCTCAAACCTGTGGCCCTTTGGCTGCAGCCGAGTGTGTCGCTGCTGCCCTACCAGGGTGCCCTGGGTCCTGAGCAGAAGAGGAGCAGGGAATTGAGCACCCCTGGGGTTGTGCTTCTCCCTGGGGTGCCCCCAGGCTGCGTGGGATGAGGCCGGGTCACATGGCCGCCTCCAGTCAAAGCTGTTTCCCATCACCCAGATGTCTGGCCTGCTATAGACTAAACAATTAGATGCTTGGCCCTTTTAAATCTCCGTGTTTGGGTGTTTTAGCCCCAGCTGCAGGCACGGGGTGTCCCTTCCTGTAATCAGATGCCCCCCACGGCTGCAAGGGCCAGCCAGCACGTCTGGGCCCCCCTGCGCGTGGCGTTCCCTCCTGACCACTGTGAGGGGGTGGGGGGAGGGCAGGCACCTGTGCCGGAGAAGGACCGCCCAGACCAGCCTGTGATCTTTTAGTGTTCGGATGCATGCACATGGCTCCCGGCATCATCACCCCCCTCACCCCTGGCGCGTGCCGGCCCACACACTGCAGCAGCGGGATGCCTAGCAGAGGAGGAACATGGGGTTCCCCAGAAGCCCACCCAGGCAGCCAGAGGACTCATGGGAGGCTCAGATGGGCAGCTTCCAGCCTGGTCTCCATGGGCCAGCCCCTGCCACCCGGCACCCCCGACTCTCCAGGTGCCTGCCCACCAAATACTGTTAGTGGACAGGACAGGGCCAGCACGGGACCCGAAGTCCCCAGTGTGAGGGTCTTCAAAGCTGCTGTAGCCTCCGTGGTGGTCACAGAGCAATGAAAACAAGGGCACGTTTCTGCCCTTGTTCAAGGAAACCCGGTGTCAGATCCACAGCCTCGGGGCAGATGTGGGCTCGCGGCGACCCCAGAGGCAGAATAAGACTGCTCCACGGATGTTCTGTGGCCCCCTCTACAGAGCAGGTGGCCAGACCACCTTCTTCTGGGTGCTGCTAGGGGCTGCAGGACAGGCAGGTATGGACCACTGGCCTTTCGGTTCATCATGGGCACACACTGGTGGGGCCAGCAGGGGCCTTTCCTGCGCGTGTCAAACCCAAACCAAACTCCCTGCCACCAGGGCAATGCTGACTCACAGTGACCCTAGAGAGTCCATGGGAAGAACGGCCCCAGTGGGTTTCTGAGACTGACTCTTTGCCGAGGCAGACAGCCTCGTCTTCTTCCTGCAGAGCAGCTGGGGCGTTTGAACGGCTGACCTTGGGGTTAGCAGCCTCATGCTTAGCCCATGGCACCGTGTTTGATTCCCCGTAGCGCCAGCTCCTGGGGAGAGTACAAATCCCAGGGCCCCGGTCAGCGTCCCCTGAAGGCTGCGTCTGTCTTTTGGACCAGACACACACGGCATCCCCTCAGCCCACGACCTGTCCTCCCGCCACGGGAGCACGCCTTCCTCCAGGTTGAGCACCTGTGCCCTGGGCGTTGCTCTTGTCAATACGTCAGTGCTTAGACGTCGGAAAGAGTCACCGGCTTCTGGGAAACCACTCAAGGTAGGGTTTTTTGGCCTCCAATAATTTATGCACCAACTAACCACATGCCCAAACCCACTGCCCTTGAGCTGATCTCAACGCTCAGGGATCCTAGTGGACAGTGTGGGAGATGGGTTTTCCAAGGCTGTGCATCTTTATACAAGGGAGCCCTGGCAGCATCGTGGGGGGTACACCGTCCTGCTAACAGCAAGGTCAGCGATTCGGTCCACCACACTGCCCTTAGGGAGAAAGGTCAGACTTTCTACTCCTCTAAAGATCTAAAAGCCGCAAACCCACTGCCATTGAGTGGATTCCGACGCATAGGGACCCTATAGGACAGGGCAGGACTGCCCTGGCTACTCTAATTAGGATCATCATCCTCAAGGCCTGGTGGGCCAGGATGTGCTCCACTCCTTCTCCCCCTTCATCTGCTCCCATGTGCTCCGATCAGACATGTCCCTCTCCCGGAGCTGCAGATTCAGTGCCATCCTTTGAAATAAATTCTTCTGGGGGGAGGGGCAGGCAT